GTCAATCCATTTAACAGGAATGTTTTCCCTTTTCTCATCGTCCCTTTTACCTCGTTGATACTATCTTTGTAGTTTCAAATCATAGTTTGAAGCCGAAGACCCCTCATTTGGGATCTTGTATTGCTCTTCTCTTCATAAAAGTATCCACTGAGTTTTTGATGAAATTTTTCGTTTTATGAAATGAAAGAATAGTTTTTAGATTTGTATTTAATCAAACTCGTCAAATTAGACCAGTAACAAAGAGCCCAGTGTGTTCATCCGCTTCACCTATCTCTCATTTTATCGCAGCAATCTTCTTCTTCAACTACATATACTTCCCAAAAGAAACTATTCATAATACTTTGTTGTATTTGTTCAATCTCGTGATCCGTCTCAATCATTTAAATGTAAGATGTTTTAGCGAAATGAGTACTAGCATGGAGCTAGAATGTCATTTACTAGTTTTGCCTGACTACTAAATATATGCCTAGGCTCTGGGGTGCACATGAGTCAGTTAAACGTTTAGTGCACGCCACTGTGCCTTGTTGCCCTTTTTTCATGGTGCGTTTGTGATGAGGAAATTATCTTGAAATATGAGACGATCAGGCGATCTAAATGATTCCTATCTAACTAGTTGCAATTTCTAGTTTCCAGATGTCCTTATTCGTTCTTAGTCTCTAGTTGATCTCGCGCCTTTTTTGAAAGAATACTTCAGACACTTCCTTGAATGATGTATTAAACGAGCACTGTGTTGTACTGCCTGAGCACAAAGTCTTCGCTGCCATGGCTATTCTCCGTCTTTTGTAAATCTTATCAATCGAAGTCTGAAAAATGAGTCACGTTTGCTTTCATTCTTCAGCTTCTTTTATTTTTGAAGAACGTCAGAAATTCAGCTAAATCTGTCCGATCACAATATTTTGTTCTGATTTTGCTCATGCCTTCATGCAAATTTCCGTCTTGCTTCCTGGTGACAATGGTTTCCATGGCTTTACAATTTATGTTGAAGCGTTTGAGGAGCTGAGTTTTCGACTGAGTCTACTCGGAGCTCCAAAATTATTTTCTTTACTTCCCGGTGATTGCCATTGTGAACATTTTTGCCGTTACTATTCTTCAACGCTTTTTTTCTTTTCTCAAATCTCGTCTGCATAATCATGGACTATTAACTTTGTAACTCCCTCTGCTCTCGACCCAATTTTAGTCTGTTGGAAAATTCTCCAAATGAAATTTTTTTCTGGGAAGGTCTCCCGTGCAGTT